ACTGTAAATTCGTTTGTCACTTTCGTTTTTTATACGTGGTAGAGCTATACTGCAGCTATATTAGTAGTATAGCACGAATGGATCGGCTCGACCGCGGAAGAACCACGCTCTCACAGAATACTAGCGTAAAATGGCGGCTTGACGCTGCTGTGTTTATTATGGTGAGTTTAGAGAAACGGAGACCCATTTTATTGGAAAAGAGTTATTCCACAAGGGTGACGACGCATCTGCATTTTGATTCTTTATTGAGGATATATGGTAAGTATGATGTATGTATGATGTATGTATGAGTATGGATGATGGTAAGTACCATCAGGTGGACTGTGTGCTCGTTTGTCATCCTATCCTATAAAAAATATAGAAATTCATGATAAATGAGTAAACAGCGTCCAATCGACACCATTGAAGCTATTGCTATAAGCATAATATGAGACTATTAAAGTGTTAATTACCTTGACGAAGGAAAACATTGTTAAGAAACCTGCATAAATTGTAGTGGTCGCCCAGTGGTTGAATTTCGACTTTAATTCATTAAATGTTTAGACTTGTATATTGAGCAATATGTATTTCATATTCAACTGCACTCTAATAAACAAAATATAAAATGAACGCTTTTTTGCCTTGACATACCCTCCACACACTATTAGAATAGAATGGAATAGAATATTTTTAATTTAATATAGATTATAACATAATATTTATTCAGTTATTTTTTTTTATTTACCACTGGTTCGGAAAATACCACTGTTCTTGGAAGAACCAGGAAGAAACCCAGGGTTAATATATTTTTTTGACATTTTGCAATTTTTTATATGAATTATAATAGAACCAACATAGTAGCGATAACTTCATTCCCAAGGGTTATATTTATGTATTCCCTTATAATAACCCTTTTTATACAGTTTTCCTTAAATAAAAAAAAAATCTTGTTGATCGACAAACTTTGCACATTTTCTGTGATTTTATTTTAATAGCGTATTCATTGCCCGTTATTGTTAAAGGAAAAATTGAAATCACGTAAAATTTACAGCTCATTGAGTCAATCTGTCACTAATTATTATTTATTAATCGGCAATATTGCATGCCTTAAGCGCAAAGTGCGTAGGTATGTTCTACTAGCGCCTAAAAATCAAGATTCCAATGTTTTGGAATTCGCATGAAATTGTGTCTAACAATAATATTGAACATATAAATGATATAAAAAGCACATTGTCAGAAAGATAAATGATTGAAGAACTTATTTTTTTTTAAATCGATCAATTTCTATTTTTACATAAAAAAGCGGTAAACACGATAACTTTTGAAAATATCAATTGTTCAACTCAATCTATTTTTAAACGCTTCATCTATCACGTGGGAAGCCATGGAATGTAAACGGTAGTTTAATTTTGTTTTGTTGTTATAATTAATTTTTTTCGGCTGAGAAATAGCGAAATTTTCGGTGTTTTGAGCAACCTTGTATTTAATTATTTACTTTACTAAATACACTTTGCCTCACTCTCGCCCACAGAGTACTTTTTTGCTCCGAGATAAGCCGTCATCGTGAGTGGTCGTTTGTTTACAGCGGTTCGTGCTGAAAAATATCGATCGCTTTAGAGATACAAACTATTCCAAAAACCAAATTATATATATTATTGTTATTAGTATAATCACAGATTTTATTACAATATTTTGTTTCGCTAAAAGTACGCAGGATTTATATATAAATATACTTATACCTCCTGATCTTTATGGAGACCTGAAGGTGTACTTCGATATATACTACTGGAACTTCTCGAAGAGTAGTGACAGTAATAGGTGTGCTGAGTTTGGGCTCGTTTTGTTAGTTATGATGAGACCTTACCTCCGAACAGTGGCGGAGTATCCTTAAGGCAAACTAGGCACGTGTTTTAAAAATGCGCGTGCAGAAATTTTTAAACGAAAAAAAAATCGTAATAGATCACTCCCAAGTCAATCACATTTTTAGAACGTAAACAATGTATGTTTTATTTTATTTTATGTATTTGTTACACATATTATTTTATATACATTTTAGCTTTCTGCATTCCTTCTCTATATAAACTTCAACTATGCCAAATCTCACACTTCTTCTAGCGCGCAATATACTTAAAAAAGAGTACAGAGTATTCCCTAAACTACATGTATAATATACAGATTCCGCGGACATGTAAATTCGGCCAACACGCATTGGACAGCGGAATCCTTCCTGCCCCGAATTTCTAAAATGAATGCAAGCCTGTTCTCAGTATTGGCAGATTGGGATATATATAAGCAGTTACTTTATTACGGCGCTGTCGTCGTATAACAGGCAAAGCAAATCGAAGCCTAAATCACAATATCGAAGTTTTCGAACTACTCCGGTACATAAAGAATAGCTTCGCGCTACCCACACGGAACGTTAACCGCACCCCTGACTAACACTGCCTGAACGGAGAACTTCCCTTTTTCCTACATGGCCAAAACTTTTTAATGCATTATAATATTATGTTATACGCAATTGAAAATTTCTGATATCCATTAAAAAGCGTCGCCATGTTCGATATCGACCGAGTCAACATCTACATCGTCTCATAAACAAGAGCCAAACAAAAATAAAGATGCTTGTGAAAGGCTTGGAACAAATAAAGAATTTTACATTTGAGTGAATTACTTCCAACTACTTCAACGAATACGGCGAAGTGAATTAAAATACACAAATAGACGTATAAGGAAGAGTAGACGTACATTATATTATGAGAAAGTCGTAGCAGAGCGATACGAGGATTTAATTTCACGCGAACCGACCAAAAACTGTCCTTATATTTTTAGTTAAATCGTTATAATGGCCGATGTTACTTCTGTGATCAATATTGATGAAGTCGATATAATATTAATTTATCGTTATTATATTATTTATATATTTACAGTAAAATATATTTCATATATTAGGATAACATTATTTTTTTAAATTAAAACTAATTAAAAAAATATTATTCTAAAATCCTAAAAAAATTATGTGATCCTAGAAAAGCTATTATCGCTAAATAGCGATTAGCTTTTTTATCATTTAGATTTAAAATATTAAAAACAAAACCGAGTCAATGACTAACGGATCCCGCTGTTGCTTGCTAACCCCTACTGCTGGAAAAAGTGGCTGTAGGTAAAGGTTCAATAACTCTATATACAATTATCGCTCTACTCGGATATCATCGCTTAAAACCACTTAATAATCTTTATCACCACCATGATTGGCTACAAATAGGTCACTACCAGGATTGGCTTCTTTCAAAATCGGGAGTACTTGTCGTAATTGCCACTAATGTAATATTGGTTCATCAGGTGGACTGTGTGCTCGTTTGTTAAGTACTTCTATAACTATATTCGTTTCGATAAATAACCATACCTGATTAAAATATTATTTACAACGAGAACATCAACGTGAGATTCTTACCATCATTAAATATGTATTTCTATATACAAACCAACAGTTGCCGCTTCCTATACTATAATTACCTCTGTAAGTTACGTTCCACAAAACAGAATACAATGAAATATGACACGTCACGTTAATCACTTAATTCTGGCATTAAATTAATAAAGCCCTTAAATTAATTACGTTGCTAAAACTGAAATCCAAGTAAAATTTACCAAAACCTTATCGCTAGAGTAATAAACTGTCCGTTGTTAAAATGCCCGTTAATTATCATACGCATTAACGGAATAATATAGTGATTAATTTAAACATCTAGACATTCTAAACAAACTGATTTTTATGTATAAAGTTTATAATAGGGACAGAAGTGGACTGTATGATTTTACTATATGAACCTGGACTGTATGACTAACTAACTGACTGATGTTGTTTGAGGTAAAGTACACTAGGGACTGCTTAAGAAAAAATGGTACTGTAGACGATAATATATTCAACTATTTACAATGCGGCTTTCACTGAACTATATACAGTCTTCAATGGAGTATTAATTCTTCTCTCTTGATTTCTCTTGAGGTTTCTTCTCTTGCTGTTGTCTTCAAGTGCCGCTTCCGAAATGAACAGCTCACAGACCAAAACGCCCTTCTTATATCTCGAAAGAGAGTGTCTCGGTATGTGAGTAGCGTCGTGAGGTGATGCCGCGCGCTGATTGGTCGGCGACATCGCGTGATCTGCTGGCGGTGTGCGGGGTGCGCGGGGCGCAACGGGGTATGAAGGGGCGACGGGGTGGCGGCTCCCCTCGCCGTCTGTAACAGTTTTTATAACTTATTACCTTACTTTCACCAGTAATGTTTCTTCCTAAGTATAAATTATAATATCCTCCAAAATTATGATTAGCTGGGTCCACACCAGACGACCCAAAATGGATCGCCGATCCCTCCATCCGTGATCCAGGATCGTGGAGCATGGATCATGGATCATACTCGTCCGATCTGGCCAAAATTTCTTGCGATCCTGTCGGGCTGCTCCATCACGCTCCAACCGATTCACCCTGAATCAGTCATTTGAACTCTCGCTATGGAGTCAGACATGCAGCAACGGCGGCGAATTGCCGTGGCAGCAAACTCCTATATTCTTCTAAAATATCTACGACAATAATCACGAAAACGAAAAAGACAGTTCTGGGTGAGAACTATGTATAAAAACCGGTTGGAATATGGGCCTCGGCTTTACAAAGAGTTAGTTGATGATGGAGCTGAAGCTAACTTTTTATGCATGGATGCAAATCAATTTGACTTATTGTGTTAACTATTGAATAACAATATAAGAAAGGATGATATATCATATTATCGTGACGCCATAACTGAAGCAAAGATTATGTGTCGCCAACCATGGCCTCTCACACCTTTATTTATGTAATTAGTGGCATTTGGGCATATGCACTTATACTTCTTATAAAGGAATACTAAACGAAGACTGCAAATCTTCCATATCGCCTGATCGCGCGATCCACAGATAACCCACAAAAGTCCACACCGCGCGCGCCAAGCGACCGACGCCCCTTTGAGCATGATTCCAAAACCGACAACGAATGGATCGTGCGCGGCGACGAGCGCGCGCTCCTACTTGCGCGAGGCACATTCACACTAACCGCGCCTGTGGAGCGCGATCCTGCCGCGCGCGATCGTTGCGTGTTGGATCGTCCGGTGTGGACCTGCCTATTCAAAAGTAAGTGTCAGAGTCGGCCAGGAACTCTTTAGACAGAAGTTCATCGACCAAATTTACAATATATTGAAGATGAGCAAAATTAATACTACCTTTAATCGACGATCATGTATGCGTTAAATGTAGACGATATATAAATATGAAAGAAGCGGGAGAGGTGTGTCGGAATCGCGCCAAATGAAAGTCGGTATTAGGTATATGTTTTTGTGATGTATTCTATGCAAATGTGATCCTTACCCGGTCGAGATAATTCGTGCTGCAGCCATTTATACGCTGCAGCAGCGTGTAAAAAGCGAATAAAAATAAAGCTTAACGGTAATCACAAAAATTATGTTATTTTTATGAAATACAACATTTAATGTTTAATTGTAATGTTTAACAATGAAGGGTCCGTTGTAAAATGACTGATTTGATTTAATTTTAAATTTTAAAATATGGTTCTCTTGGTTCCCGGCTAATGAAACCACGCTTATTTTCGCACGGGGTCAGTAGGAAATGTGCAAATAAATAAGTAAGTGTTTTTACTAATAATAAATACTGGACCGTTTCCGCGACAGCTGACCGCGGGACTAATTCACTGCGGTATAATGAAGACCATTTTAGGCGCGCGTAGTAGCAGTGGTCTAAAAATCGTACGTCAATGGTCTCAGTATAAGCAACGTTTTCAAGAAATGTACAGTATACATCTTTCGACAAATCCTAAAAAAATTATGATATAGTCGCACGCACTGCGAAAAAGGCTATAAGAGCATCGTGTACGTTAACAAAGCGAAGCTTACTTACAGGTTTTCTTGAATGTTTAAAAAAAGAAAAACCACATAGTGAACAGCGTTCAACGAAAAAGAACAAACAATGAGGTAAATTATCGCGGTGAGATCGTATATAGCCCAGTGGAGCGTTAGCACCACGCAGTGCAAATTTAGTGCGGCACAGTACAACCTTAGTGCATTATAGTACACTAAGTACAGCTCCGTACGTTTATTACGTTGAAGACGTGTTTCGATAATTTTCTTATCTGCACTCACGCTAAAGACATGAAGTTTTTGTGTCGTTGATGTTGTAAAAGTAATTTACTTTACTATTTAATTTTTTACGTATCTTTTTAACACACTAATGACTTGATGTGTTTACAATTTGCTGAGTGGTTCTGTTTTACGTGTCAGTGATAATATACCTAAACCTTTTTTATATAAAACTAGCTGGCCAGGCAGACTTTGTGCTGCCCTTTCCGATGACCCTTTGTCTTTTAAAAATCTTTAAATTCGCCAATATGAAATATTGAGGGTCACTTATCGAGATAAAAACTATCATATCTCTCAAGTTGGAGCAAGAAATACGCATTTCCAAAATTTCAAAAAAAAAACAAACGACCTTTCAGTCCACCTGATGGTAAATTCGGCTACTGTAGTCCATGGAAAGCTGCAACCAACTTCAAATATAGAAGCCTACGGAACCGTTATCACTCCTGAGGACTAAGATGGAATACCTTATAGCCTGTAAATTATACTGACTCTCTATACCCTTCAGATCGAAACTGCTATTCGGTGGCTGAAATTGGTGAGACGGGTAACTACCCAGACCGACTCCTAGACAAAAAAGACTTATATTCTAGCACTACCTACCTCCAAATCTCACTTAATTAAATCCTTATGTATGCGCTTCCGCTTGACACATTATTTTATAAATTCACATTATTATATTTTATATGTTGTTTAATTATAGCCGATTTCAACAATAGAATAAGTATTTAAAATTCAATCTATCCGTCAAAATTATCAAAATAAAACCGTCACCACCGGTTAATTCATTCATCCATATTAAGCCTATTAAGGTCCATTGCTGAACACAGGCCTCCTTATAATATACAGGTATAACTTAAAAAAAAAACAGTTGCAAACCGATTGCGGTTTGTCAGGCAAAAATCTAAATAGGATTTTCGTGATTGTGTTGCTTTTTATTAAATGTTTAAAGATGCTATAAAATAAAATAAAAGATTTATCTGTTTTGTAAAATTGATAACTTCCTGTAGCGTTCGGAAATGGTCGGCGTGGTTAAAATCGACCAAGAGCACATTATTTTTCAATATACGATGTAGGTGCTTATTGCGCACTATTTTTGCTCACAAAGACTTTCGTTATCGATATAACCTTATTATTCACAATACCAGTTTTTGTTTTAGCAGCTGTTTTTTTTTTTTTTATAATTTAGTTGTATTGCGAAAGTGTATAGGCGTAGGTACGCGAAAGTGTATATTAGTTACTTATTTTTGTTTTAAGGTAATCAAAAATCCTAGTGAGGAATTCTTGTTTACGATTTGGATGAATCTTTTGTATTTAGATAATCATCATCCATCCTTGATAATAAAAATTCTAACGCTCAGAGTTTGGGTCGCCCAGGAATTGTAACGTTAATACTAGATATTCGAAAATGCTAAAGCCCACTTTAGTGGTTTGTGTGACAGAGTCAAGTAATACCGATCAGATACCTACTACATACACTATTATAATCCAATAAAAAATAAAAAGCGCAGATGGCTAGTCTCCGTTGAGACTGACTGCTGTGACCGAAATTATGTCTGAATGTTATTTATTATACACTATATACTACTTTATACATATTTAATTTTTATTGATTCTGAACGAGTTTAATATTTCTTCTGGTCATTGCTAAATCCTACTCTGCCTCAAAAAATAAATGTTCTGAAATGTATTTGCTCAAAAAGCAAGTGTTGTGGTGATACTGTCGTGGTGATTACACGATGTTACATTGGCCAGTACGACAAAAGATACGCCATTACTTATAATTAATTATTTTCAACCCAGTTTCCTCTATGCCTATTAAAGAAAAAGTTTTCATGAACATCTTACTAATTATACCGTCTGTATTAATTTCATTTTGTCCTCACAAAGACGTGTGATAGAGCACAGCTCTTGTCATAATAAGCCAAATTTAATTTGCCTTTACGTCTGCGGCTTCACAAAGTTTTAATTAACATTTCGCAATCGATTCTCATCTTTATTACAATAGGGACTTAACCTATTTTAGTTTAAAGTTGCTTCATCTGCAGTTAGAATTTCGGATACGTTCTGAATGAAGCAAACATGCACGAACCGTGTGTAAACAAGGATGCATAGGTATACTCCCCCGGTAATGTAAAATTTTATAGTAGTATGTTATCTTTATTTGTTTCATTTAATTTACAAAATATGTAAAAAGAATTAGAAAAATCTCCAAGAACGTAGGTAACACATGTGAATCCCTTTTTAACAAATACTCGTTTAAATTGTTTATGATGGACAGTAATTATGTGCTTCACAAATAAAGCTGTTGTACGGTAAGTTGAACCCAGCACTCATGTCATAACAAACATCCTACCTATCTACTCTAATCGTCGTGCTTTACTCAGTCGAAATCATGGCTAATTGTACTTAAGGTTGATTTTCTCTTATTCATTGAACCGTTCGGCGTCCTCCATCGACATTAGCGAAGCGGTGAAGTCGAGATTTTTTCACTCGGTTCAAAAATTTGATGAATTTGTAATTCAAGCTTTCCATGGTCGGACTAATCGAGCCGCAACGGTAGATAGGTAAGTAATCGCCTTAGGCAAATTGAGTTTCCGAAATTGATTTGAATAATTTGTATTGAAAAGAAAAAAAAAACGCGTACTCGCTATCTGATGTAACTTTCCTAGTAAGGGTTACAAACAATCAAATATACCATTGTCAATGCGATGGTATATTTTATTGTTTGTAACCAGTGTTTGGTTGTTGTAAAGTGTAAAGTAAGACAATACTATACAATACAATAAAATATTATTTACTCTACACTTAGAAAAAACAAATAAAATAAAGTTACAGCCTATATAGCTATAATATATGTCCCACTGCCAGGCACAGGCCTCCTGTCATTTCTGAGAGAGTTTTATGGCAAGGAGAAGTCCGCCGCGCTGCTCCAATGCCTGATGGCGAACTTCACATGTCTTCGAAATATTTTTTTTTCTTATTACTCAGACATGCAGATTTCCTCACGATGTTGTTGTTCGCCGCCGAGCACGAGGTAAATTAACACTTAAAATTTCAATTAACAATTTCATTAGTGCCGGCGGGTATCGAACCCAGGTTGCTCGCCTACTGTGAAATTTACAGCGAGCGTTTAGCCCCTGAGCTATCATAGCTCAAAACAACATAATAATAATAAAAAAAATTTGTCCCCCGAGGAGAGAACTTGTTTTGCTTCTAAGCTACCACTGTTCGGAAGACACTATGCCCTGTGGAAAAATTTTGTAATTAATATGCGAAACTTTAAGGAAAACAATAAACTTTAAGAGCCATAGTAGCTCAGGGACTCCCCAACGACAGATAAGAAATTGTGTATATAGAAGCCCAGTGGCGATACTTGTGCCTAATAATGCTGCTTATATATTAAAGCGAGCTTAATTTACATTCAGCCCATTCCTGCGGCAGTGAGCGGGAACGTAAGCCTGAAAGTAGACAGCGCGAGTACGTAAATGGGTAATTTATCATGCCTCTGCCGATGTTGCTCGTGCTGCCGTACGCTTCCCGAATAGGTGGTCTTTGAGGAAGTCAAAAATAGGATAATACCAGAGTAAAATAGCAATAATAGCAAAATATATCATTGTATAGTGAGTGGTATGAGCCGTGGTAGCTCAGATGGGAGCCGTGGTAGCTCAGATGGTTAGCGCTCGCTGTAAATTTGACAGTACACGAGAAAACCGCGTTCGATCCCCGCCGGCACCAATGAAATTCTTAATTGCAATTTTAAGTGTTGATTTACCACGTGCTTAGCGGTGAAGGTAAACATCGTGAGGACACCTGCATGTCTGAGAAATAAGAAACAAATATTTCGAAGACATGTGAAGTTTGCCAACACGCATTAGGGCAGCGCGGCGGACACTTCCTAGCCCTAAAACCCTCTCAGAAATGAGGGGAGGCCTATGCCCAGCAGAGGGACGTACATATATAGGCTGTAACTTTAACTTTTAA